TTTTTTTTAGTTTTTTCTCTTTTTTTGAGTTTGTGTCACTTTTTCATTTTACACAGTATTTTTTACTTCCTAAAAACCTTTCATATGATTTTTCAAAACATCCCTAATTTTAAGGGTATTTTTGTAAGTACCCAAAAAAAAAAAGAGGAAATTAGGCCCAATACGGTCCAAAAGCTACAAAATTGAATAACACCATTTTTAACTAATTAAATAATTTAAAACTCAATTAATACGCCTAAAAATCTCAAACCTCAAAACGTAAGGAGAGAAAGACGTTGTGGTGTGTCTTCAACTTTTCTCATTTTCATTACTGTAACAGGCATAAAAGAGCAGCCATGGATGGTAGAGCTCAGCTGACAGAACCTTGATGTCAAGGCGGCGCCACCGCTGTGTCCGGAGCAGCAACCTACCGAGCATATATCAGTGTCTCTCTCCATCTCCGTCGACTACTAGATGGCAACTCCAGCATCTGTCGCAACTCCTTCGCAGCCACAGTTGCAACCACCTCTGGGCGGACCGGCCTCGCCAACTGCCAAGAAGGGCAGAGGCCGACTTCGTGGTTCCAACAAGAAGCAATAAGGGAAACTATACGTAAAGACCATTTGTTTCTCTGAAGCTATGTATGTATATCTAAATATACTAAATGATGTTTAAATTAAATTTATTGCTGAATCTTTGATTGAAAAATCAAATNGTTTCTCTGAAGCTATATAGGTATATCTAAATATATTATATGAGGTTTAAATTAAATTTATTGATGAATCTTTGATTGAAAAATCAAATCTTTGTAGTTGGATGTATTCTGTGGAAGAATTTAAGATGGTACAAATGCAAAATGGAAATTCAATTTGTTGGATATATGTCAGAATGAGAAGATCAGTAGACATATGCTTTCCAAATGGGGTTTAAATTAAATTAATTGATGAATCTTTGATTGAAAAAATAAATCTTAACATGAAATGTGATATATAAAATTCATGGGGGAACGTGCTTGAAAAAATGCATTTGGAACTGTCTTTCTGATTTGCATCATTTTAGGATTTTAGTCTTTTTGTTGAACATTTTTTATATTCTATTTCTATGTAAGCCTGAGCCTCCTGGGTTTAGGATTTTGCAGCTGAAAAGATAAATGAAGTAAATTTTTTTAATCCTGTAACTGTTTGACAAAAAAGGAATTTCTAGGTGCCTGAATTTTAGAAGTGTTAACTGTTTGAAGGAAAAAAGGATTATCTCCCATCTACACTAAAATAAGTAATGCTATTCGTAAGCATCCAAGTGTCAATGAAGTCACTTGTGACAAGAGAACGAACTTTCATGAGAATACATGAAAACTACTTGAATTAAGGTCTCAGTATCCTCTAAGCTCACTTTCAAATATGATTAGTGACATTTCTTTTTCTTTTTGGAAACTTGTTAGTGTTATTCAATAGAACCAATTTACCATGCTGTAATTGTCTTGGCAATTAATATTCAAATAAGAAGGATCCTTCAGAGTCTTCAATCGCCCAATGATTCTAGTCATATTTAATTAATATAAGTAAAGCATAATTACCAATAGACTATGTAGAAGAAAATCAGCCATCCCTTGAATATATTTCAAGGTTTTGATTCGTGTTTGTCACTTTTTTTTTTCTTTTTTTGGATTTCTACAACTTCCAACTTATATAGTATTGTGTTCTTAAAATGAAGTGAAACATAATCATAAAGAGATAGTAGAAGAAAATTGATTACCCATGGATCTATTTTAAGGTTTTGATTGATGTTTCTCACTTTTTAAAATTTTGTCACTTTTTTTAAATTCTGACTTTTCTGAGTGTTTGTTACTTTTACTTAAAAATAATGAAAAAACTTGATCTGCCACTACCAACTTATAGAGTGTTTAGTTCCTAAAATAAAATGAAAAATAATCGTCTACTTTTTTTAATTTCTATCGCTTTTTTGAAGAGATGACAAGTAGAATAAAATCAACTACCCCTGGATCTATTCTAAGGTTTTAATCAGTGTTTGTCACTTTTTTTATAAAAAAATTGTCACTTTTTAAACGCTTGTTACTTTTTTTTGAATTTGTGTCAGAAGTTTAGAAAACTATCGCTATTTCTAAATTTCTACCAAAAGTCTTATTAAAGTAAATTAGATACTGATCATTCAAAGAGAAAATCACCATCATATCATTTCTATCATTATTTTCAGTGTTTGTCACTTTTTTTT